TACTTGAAATTTTCACTGAATGTTTATATAAGCATTTTCTATATTTGATAAAGTTTTCAAAATATTTAATATTATTATTTATATATAATTTATTTGTTGTGAGYTGTTTACTGATATTTTAATTTTTCAACTTTTTTAGTTTTCTTTTCTATAAATATCGATAAAAATGTATTTATTAGGTAGAAAAACTTGAAAATTTAATTCAAGACACCAAACACATTGTTCAATAGCAGTTGAAAAATAATAAAAATACATAGGCATGTTTTTTTTATAAGCATTTAAAGTTTGAATTTTGACAACATACGTAAAAATCACGAAAATTCACAAATTATTTTATGCTAGAAATTCATTAAAAATGTTCCTTTTATGCCTAAAATTTGAAAATTTTTGATAATGTATAATAATATATCCTTGACAAATAAACCGTCTCCGCTCAGAATCGTTTTTCGTATACAATGATATAATATTTTATTTTTAAGAGAGTTATGAGCATTTTTAATTAAAAATTAAATTAATTTACGCTCTATCATATACGTATAACTTGCTAAAAAATTAACTATTGTTGATTATTATCATAATAAATTATTTTTAATTTTTGCGTAATCTAGCTGTGTGATCAAGATAATATTATAATAGTTATATCATTCAAATTTTATATTTTTTTTAAATTTTTTTATATTATTATAAATTATTATTTTAGAACAGTAAGGTATATCTTTGGGGATTTTTTTCCGGGTTTTTTTTTCCTGTGGATTTGTTTTCCGGGGATTTTTTATCCGGGGGTTTTTATTCCGGAGATTTTTTTTCCGGGGATTTTTTTTCCAAGATTCACAGTAGAACGGTACTTATTTGCCACTTTTGTTAGTGACTTAGAATGATGCAAAAAAAAAATTATCAGTTCAAAAATAATTATTGATCAAGATACTGAATGTTTACTGTTGAAATAATCTCCTTGTAATTCTTAATGAACGATTATAAATAAAAACCAAAATTACCACTCAAAAGTAGAATTTACATAACAATTTACTGGATACCTAACCTTAAATACATAGGAAGCAAAATCCCAAACTGCACGAATAATCTTAGTGAATGGGAAAAATCTTCTGGCTTTTCCTTTTCTCCAGAGAAATCAAAATATATCATATTTTCTAATAGGTAGTAAAAAATTAAAAAAACCTAATAAATAGATAGTCTACACTAAAGCAGTGAAGATATTAGGATTAACCTTTGATGAAAAGCTCACATGGAAAAAACATATAAATAACATAAAAATAAGCACGAAAAATAGACTAAACATAATAAAAATATTAGAAAATATAAACTGRGGAGCGGACACAGAAACACTACTTCTAATCCACAATTCGCTTATCAGATCAGTGATAGATTATGGCTCATTTTTTTACAGTACAGCAAAAAAATCAATACTTAAAATACTAGACATAATACACAATGCAGGCCTAAGATTAAGTTTAGGAGCGTTCAAAAGTAGCCCAATAGAAAGCATATTATATATAATTGCCGGTGAACTGCCTTTAAAATATAGGCGAAACAAATTACTACTCAAATTTGCCGCTTTAAATGCAATGTATAATCAAAAACCTACCTTTCACACAATATTCAACCTCCGTCTCAACAATACCTTTAATAACAACGTTAAACTAACACATCCGATGTACAGAAGAATAAATAAACTCTCAAAAGTCTTCCAGATAAATCTCTAATACATTATTAACTATGAGATACCAAATATTCCGCCATGGTCAAATAAAAAATTATCCCTAAATACATCCTTAGCTAGTTATTAAAAAAAAAACACAACACCATTAACATACAAACAACTATTTTATGAAATTATTGAAGAACKCCCCAGTTATAAACATACCTATACCGACGCATCGAAAACTGAAAAAGGTACCGGAATAGCTATCATCGCTCCCAACTTTCAGCAAAAAAATAAATAAATAAATAATCACTGCAGCATGTTCTCCGCCGAATTGCTAGCGATATACACTGCTATAAAATATATAAAAAAACTCTCAACTACTCTATAATTACGTCATATTTACAGACTCACTAAGCTCCGTAAAATGTTTAAGTAACCATAGAAACAATAAYAGTCTAAAATCAAAAATAATAGAAGCGATAAATGACCACCCAAACGAAATAACTATTGTCTGGATAACAGGTCATAGTAACATAGAAGGTAATGAAAAAGTAGATTGTCTRGCACAGGAAGCAGCCAATAATCATAACTTAGAAATAAGCGATAAATACTGTACTTATGAAGACACACTAAGTTGTATCAATGCTGCGATTGAAAAAAAATGGTCAAACAAATGGAGAAAAAAAGAAACCAAACTTAACGAAATAAAACAAACTACAGAACGTTGGAAAAACATAACAAACTTAACAGAAAAGAAGAAGTATTATTAACACGTCTAAGAATAGGACATACTCGCTTCACACACTGTTACCTAATGAGCAAAGAAGAACAACCCAGGTGCACAACATGCGGAGTTCACTTGACTATAAAACATATACTCGTCGAATGCAGACAAACAGAAGATGCAAGAACTAAACACAACATCCCAGAATTTTTATACCAATCATTAGGTCCAAATGCATCAGCCATCAAACAGACACTAAACTTCATAAAAGAAACTGAAATTGAAAATTTATTGTAAATAAATATTATAAAATAATATGTAAAAACCAAAATCACCTATGTAAAAAATTATATAAAATCAATGTAAACAATGTCAGCCAATGGCCACCGCTGCCGAAGCTTATTCTAATAAAAAAAAAAAATTTGGAGCTGAATTTTTATGAGTTTAAAGTTAACTCCATGATATGATAAACATGAAATAGATGCTTTTATAGATGGTAATATTGTAAGAAAAGCACCTAAATCAAAATAAACATTTTTAATAATACTCTAGAGTAAAAAAAAGTTTTGTTTTTTGTTTTTGTTTTTGTTTTTATTTCAAGCGTTGTCTCTGTATTTTTACAATAGTTGAACACAAAAAAAAATTTCAAAATAAAATATACATGAGAAAAACACAACTACACAAGTAGGTGCTTATTAATACAATAAAAATTAAATTAAACAAATTTAAAAATAAAAATCAATAATACATTATTATATCTTATGTCTATGAATAGAATAATTAATGAAATTGATTTTTCAACCATTGTTTTACAGTTCTCGAATAAAGCTTAAGTATTGGTTGATATAAATATATAGAGATAGCTAACAAATTGTAAATATATAATTTACCATCTGAGATAGTGAGATCATATTGAAACTCATCATATTATCAAACAAAAATAAAATTGTTTTACGTTAAAATATACAGAAACATTATTATGCAACATTACACATAGACAGTTAAGAATAATTATTTAAAATTAATACAACTATAACACAAACTTTGATTAAATAATAAAAATATTTTACATAAATAATGATCATATTAAACTATCAAATTTCGTCAAAACTATTAAGTTGATGAAAAAATACATTTTATTGTAATTTTGAACAAAGTATTATTTATACAAATATTGAAATTTAATATGAATGTAAAATAATTACAATTTATGGGACGAAAAAACTGCAGGAACATTACTATCATTATATAATTTAATATATATATATAATATATACATTTAAAGAACTTAACCAGAAAAATTAATGTCAATGATAAAAATATTAATTATAAATTGCTTACAATTTCTAAAATGCTGGATAATTTATTAAATTTCTGTAACCATGTTAGTTTTCTAAAACAAAAAGGAAAATAAATTTATAATTCARGCAATTATGATAATTTTTTGCCATATCATATGGCAAAGTCCTCATAATGAAATACTTAATAAACTATAATATAAAACAGTTAAAACATTTTAAAAATGTCAATTATTTACTTTTCTTTTAGATATTTAGTTAACCCACGCTTGGCATGCACTTTCAAACGGGCCATTCCTTGATGATCTTSACTGTATATATCCTCAGGATGCAGATAACCAGATGTGCCATCATTATATATAACCTGGTATGTACAATAACATTAATTTTAAGATATAAAAAATTATGTAAAATAGATAAATCATACTTACTGAATAAATAGTCTTATAAATTAACCCCAGGAACAAACCTTTTTCACCAGATTCTAAAAGTACTTCTTCCTTAATAGCCGGAAGATCATCGACTGTATAGTTCTAAAAAAAAATGATTTACGGATATTAGAGGAAATAAACATGTTACTAGAAATATTTCATTTACTTCATGTTTTGTAATTTTTTTGACAGGATTTAATGAAAAAAGGGCTTAGATATTAAAAATAAAAAATATGAAGTCATAAAATGCATGTGTGATAGAATAAAATTCCTTAAGCGCTAGGTTAATATTAGTGGCATTTGATTTTTTTATTTAATTCAATCTTTACYAACAACATAAATCAATAAAGTATATTATCAACTAAATAWTTATCGATTACAAATATAAGTATATAAATATATATATAAATATAACAATGGTACAACCAACAATTTTTGTTATAATACTAAATAATCGACTAACATAACAAAAATATAATATTACTATATATAATATTAAATGACTAAAAAACCTTAAAAATTGTATCTGAAAAAAATACTGTCATTCAGTCAATTTAAGATTTAAGTTGATAGGTTAAATGATTTAAATATCCAACCTAGATGTATGTAAAATAAAATGGTGTGCTAATGACAGACAAAAGATAAAATTTTATACTTTAGGCATCTTAATATAAATTTGTGATTTAACATAAGAGGCGTTACCTAAAAATTTAAATAATAATGCAAAAAGTGTAACAGATAAAATTACCTTAATTTCATTTATTGCAATATTGTCTGATATTGAACCATCRCTGAATTTTATAACGCAGATAGGACCTTTACTAATGTTTACAATTTTACATTCAATGATTCTTCTATGTTCCAAGTGCCTGACCCATACTTTTTGGTTTATACGAACAACCGGTTGCTAAAGATAGAAACATTCACCATAAAATAATTACCATAACCAACCAGTATGAAATAACTTACTTTATCCATAACATGACAATGATTTATGCAAAAGATTAAAATATGCTTGTTCATTCGGTTAATTTGAAAATCGAATCCAGCAAATATTCCACAAGAAATATGGAACCAAGCATCACAATTGCCTTCAGAGCAACGAAAACAATTACCACAAGTTAAATTGCATATAACACACTGTAAAATATCAAATGCATTTTAAATATTGAATAGCCGAGGCTTATTTCTGATAAAAAAAATATATATATAGGTAAAAATTAAACATAACTCAAGAATGAATATAAATATTATACCTTCTTGTTGGTTGAAAAGTCTGTTGAAAATGTGTTGTAAGTCAATGGACTACTGCCATGCACAAGAAGATTACATTCAGCATGAGACCATACATTGAATTTAAATTCTTTTAAAGCTCCTCCTTTTAATGGACAGTACACACAAGTCTAAAAATAAATTTCAATACTTAATAAGACTATAAGACTTTATTGTAGCTAGTTTTTATGAATTCAATATTTTTCCTCTATATAGAACGATATATAACATATCAATACAGGAAAAAAACTTAAATTGAATAATAATAAAATGTGTAATTTAATAACGTCGTTATTTTTTATTTTATTTTTTTTTGGTCAAATTAATAAATTGGTTTGTTGCACAAATATTCTCTTTTTGAAATAAGTTGAGACAACTGAGACAAGTATTAATCTTACTAGGATAAATGTTTTGTAAACGGTTCACCCCCTCCCCCTCTTCCCATATGACAACACCAAAAGAAAAAAAAAAGCATTAATCTTTCAAGTATTTCAAATTGCCAAAGTACTCAAATTGATAAATTATTTTAGAATTTCCTAAATACTCAAAGATTGCATAGTTTTAACTTTGTGTTGATTGTTTTTTTTTTTTTAATAAAAATAATTAGGATTTCAAGAAATTAACAGTTTTAGATTTTAAAAACATATATTCAGAACACCTCATATAGTTAACCTAATAAACTCCATTAGTTACCACAATATAGTTCCAATTGTTGATACCAACATTTAATAATTTATTCAATATTGTTCGTAACTTCAAATAATTACGATTTTTTGTACTATGTTTTTAATTCCTTATTGTATAGGTATTTAGACCTCAAGGGACAATCAGTGTTACGGGTTTGGTGAACTCAGGGCCCCGAGCTGAGGCGTAGAGATAGTGGCGCTCCCATCGCCCAATACATTGCGAGGCGTATTACAATAGCCCTAAGCTGACCTTAAATGGATGGTGTGGAATGACACCTTCAGGTTAGGGGTTTAGCGTTTGTTCAGGACTCAAACATAAAGCTTCGGGATAGATTATTTGGAAAAAAAACTGGAAACAGGATATCGGATTTATTTTGTAGTACTTAGAATTTACGGACTTTTTATAAATAAGGAGCAACATTGAATTTAGTAAGAGTAGCAGAGAAGTATAAAATCAGATGTATAGCTCTGCAAGAAGATGGAAATATGCAGGATCTAGTATATCATCTCAAACAAACATCATTAACGGAAGTACTTAGCAAACAAGAACATAGATTAGGAACTGGTTTCGCGAATCGCGATACATAAATCAATAATTCACAAGTTGAAGGACTTCAGGGATATTAGCCCAAGAATCTCCACATTAACACTCAGGACCAGAGATTTTCGAATAGTTGTAATTAACGCTCATGCACCAACCGAAGAAAAAGACGATAAAGAGAAGGAAGAATTATACTCTACATTAGAAGACATAATGGCTACAGCAGTTAGTGATGTTAAAATAGTTCTAGGCGATCTTAACACTAAAATCGGCAAGGAAGCGCTGTATAGAGTGGTGATTGGGACACATAGGCTAGACGAAGCTTCGGATGACACCAGTATGAAGTTGATTAATTTTGAAATAGGAAAAGGACACTGGACGTGGTCAGGACGTTAGTGTTTTTTGTAGCACGCTAATGCTACTGCTACTCCTCTCAAAAATGTAGTTCACTATCGCTAAAGCCACTATTTTTGAAAATGTAGTGCGCTATTTCTTACGCTATTGTTTAAATAAAGACCTAAACTTTTTAGCTACATTTTCTAAAAAATTTCTTGATTTATTTAGATATTTATTTGGTCATCATTTGTTAATGCCTACCACTATTTTTTAGATTTTCGAAAGGCGGTTTAATTCTATGTTTCTTAAATATTTTTTTGACAGAAATCAAAACAATAAAGCTAAAAAAAGCACAATAAATGTAATGCAACATCCATGATAAGGTTGACGTGGATAAATTGRAAGACAAGAAGATTCTCAGGGATTATAACAGCACAACCAAGAAGATTTTTGAAGATAAGCAGATAAAACATACCAGTGATGTGAATGAAATATGGAATAAAGTCAAAAATGCTATAGAAGCAGTAGCGACGAGAGTAATAGGAACAAAAAGAAATGTATCGAAAGTTTGGCTCAATAATATACGTGAAAAGCTCTACAGAGAATAAAAGCTGATCGTGAAGAATGGTTTAAGGATACGAACAATGGGATAAACAGAATCGTTCTATCATATGACGAAAAGAAACAAATACAATTTTAAGATGTGAGAAAAGAAAATTTGTACGTAACTTGCTAGAAAGGACAGAACAAGATTTTAAAACAAATAAAACACGTGATGGTTTTAGATCGGGGAAGTCAACGACGGACCAAATATTTATTATTGGACAGTTATATCTAAAAAAAAAACAAGGAAATTCGATAAAGAGATAAATACGTTATTCATTCACTTCAAAAAGCATGCGACAGTATTCATAGGGAAAGACTCATAAATATATTAGAAGAGTTCGATTTTCCTCAGAAATTGATCAATTTAGTCTCAATCAGCATCATGGAAAATTTCAAAATAAAAGTCAGATCCAGTTACAGTAAAATCCAGCTTTAGATAGGGTGATTCCATCACCTATTCTCTTCAATCTGACTTTGAAAAAAGTTTTAAAAGAGATGAAAATTGAACCCCACGAAGAAATAAAACTCCGGAATTCGGCTATTCTCTGATTGACATATGTCTATAATACAGTGTTTATGGACAAATCTGAAGATGGAGTAAAACGGCTCTGTGAAAGACTCAATGACGCAGCACAGAAATAGGACTACAAATTAATGAACAAATAATGGAATATATGATTATAAGTAGACAAAATTAGATGGATCACATGTTGAAGATAATTAATTTAAAAGGGTTAATTATTTTAAATATCTTGGCTCAAATTTGAGTGAAAAAAAAAATGATATCACCAAAGAAGTAGCCGCGAGAACCCAAGCGAGAAATAGGGTATATTATGGTTTGGTGAAACTATTAAGTTCTAGATCATTATAAAGAAAGTCGCTCTAGCGAGGCTCATGCCCAACATCAGCGGAGCAGGGCAGTGAAAAAGAAGGTGGAGAGCCAACTCCTCTACGCAGTTCCAGTCTGGACATCCGCCATTAGCGCCACCAATTCGGACGGAATCTCGGGAGGCAACAAAGAATAGCCGCCTTGAGGACCATCAGGGCGTACAGAACTGTTTCCGACGAAGCAGTATTTCTACTAGCTGGCATGCCACCCGCAGATCTCATTGCTGAGGAGAAGACCAGGACTAAAACTAGGCTATCCGAGGACACCTCCATTTCTCGGCTGAAAWTTAAAAAACTTGAGAGTAAAGAAACCATTGCGGTGTAGTATAGGAGATGGACTCGCGCGGACAAGACCACCTGGGACCCACCGTCTGATACCAGTGATACCTGATATAATCAGATTGGAAAACAGAACAACCTTATTATAGTGCCTAAGTCATACCGCTTGACACAGGTACTTACCGGTCATGGATTCTTCCAGTTCTACTTACACCGCTTCGCCAGGGCCACCAGCCCATGCTGTATGCGTTGTATACAATGCGGAGCATACAATCTTCTACTGAGAGAACTGGAATTGCCTCCGCACAGAGCTCTGCGAATGCTTGGACCCCCGGAAGTCAAAGACGAGCAGGAGATACATTGGGGACCGGTTTTCGAGAACCTCGCGGTTGAGTAACAAGAGAAGGCGACCACACTTTATGAAGCTGAAGAGACACTCGGGATCTTCTAGAAAATAGTGGAGAAGATCTTGACCCTCGAAGAGGAAGAGGAGAGAGCTCGACGAACGACGGACGCCTCAGAGGATTAACTGCCAAGAACTGGCTTCAAGAGTAGCGGACTCGGTCCGGATAGAGAAAAGGGGTTACAAGGACAAGAAGTCTAAGAGTGCGGGCTCCACCGGTCTGTGAAGAGGACTCAGGGAACGAGACGTCTAGTGCAGCTGACTTAGGTCAATTCGCAAAAATCCTGACGAGACATAATAAATCAACCTATAATGGATACATTTCATGTTAGGGAGAAAAACGTGTCTCATTTATTCCCTTTCAAATTGCAATTATTGTATGATCCCAGATGGTATGGGATATGCGCATAAATCAGCATCCGCTAAGGAGACTATTCCTGCCATCAGGGATCCGATCAAAGTTGTAAATATTTTTAACAAATAAACGATGCTGCTTGGAAGCTAAGTCATATGAAAAAAATACGGTCTCTATGTGGTGATGAACAAAAAAAAAGGAAAAGATCATTATCAAGAGAGATAAAGAGACGTTTGTATACCAACCTAATACGACCAGTAAGTTCTTAATACTAAAAAGGAAAATATACGATAGATCTTCAATCCAAGAAAAGATGACAGCACAAGAGAGTGGAGAATGAAAAATAGAGAACTACAAGACATTTTTAATGAAAATAACTTAGCAGAGACGATCAAGAAAAGAAGGTTGCGATGGGCGGGACAATATTCTCTACTAAGAATGGGGCTGGAACAGAATTCAGTAGGGAAAGAACCTTGGTTAGACCAAAATTAAGATGGGAAGATATGGTTAATGAGGGATGTAGAAGACTTAAGAGGCGGAAAACTAGAAGGATTTGGCGATGAATAGAGATGTCTGGAGAATTGGTTATGAGACGGGATGGTCCTAGCGGCCGATTAACCCAAATGAAGAATTGTTTAGGTATTTAATATAGATTCAAACTATCCAAAATTTTAGGGTTATAAAATTCTAATTCAATTGTATTTGGAATTAAAGTTTATGGCTTTTTAATAAAATATGTTTAAAAACTGGAAATTTAGCGCACTCGCAGAGTTTCCAAACTATCTTATATTTTTCCAATTAGACAGCTGAGTAATCTACTGAAATCGAATATTTTTATTGACGAGTATAAAAATATAGCAGACGAGTATTTGACTTGGAGAATTATTATTTTTAGTCGAGTACTTGCACAACTTTACATAGTTTATTAATTTATAATATACTTACAGCAAGCATCTTATTTTTCATGCAACGATCACACAACCAATGTCTACTTGTGTCTACATTGATGCCATAACACACTTTGTGAACTGTCAAATAGCATTTTTCACATCTTATAAGATCTGCCTTAAAACCTCTGTCACCCCCAGAAAGTGCATTTTTAAATAACACTTTGCTAGGTTTCTGTAAGTCGGGTAACTTTGGATGCATGAAAGAAGTTGCTCTTGCTTTCCAATCCAAGTTGAAAGTTAACTATTCATTCAAACATAAAATATTTATTACAATTTCAAAATCTAGTTAATTCAAAATAATTTATAATCCTAAAATGTATATTGGCATCAGAAAAATTATTTTTTAATCATAATTAATGATAAATTTAAATCTTTATAATGACAATTGATAAACTTAAGAAATGTATCTTCTATTACCTTATGATGGCGATTGAACATCATACACAATGAACAATATGGATCATCTATACTTCTAAATACATTATATAGTTGCTCAGTCTCAAATGAGCAACAATTTTTAACCATATCACATATATTATTTGGTATACCTATGAATAAAAATTGTACGGTAAAAACATTTTTGAAAATAGTAAATTTAATATTTGCTGATTGTTTTTATGTAAGTAGAAATTAACTGAAACATACCGTCAATTACATATTCTTCTGCATGAGTTTTTTGTATTGATTCAAGAGTTGAATTATTCAAGGAAGCTCTAATATTTATTAGAGTTTGAGTCATATCATCTGGCGTATATTTTTTATTGACATGGGTACTTGAACTGGTAAGAGATGAATTAGGAGGCTTCTCCAAGTTAGTTGGTGGTAATGGTTTTATTATAACTACATTTGAATGAGCCTTTTTATTAACACTGTCACATTTTTTAGATAATAAACAATCATTGTTTGAAGTATTGTTGAAAACTGTTGAATCATTAATACTTTTATTGAGATTTTTATTCACTTGGGTCTCTTCAGTAATACTATTAATATTCATAGAACCAATATTCCCAGCTTTTAACGGTAATATGGTTATTATTTTTTTAACACTATTATCACTTTCRTTGAAGCTAATGACTTTTGAACTCGTCTGGTTTATAGTTTCATCAGTAGGAATAATTTTTTTCTCAGTAGATTTAGAATTTTTCTTTTTCTTAGATTTTGGATTCTTTTTTGATTCTCGTTTCTTAGACTTTCTTTTCTTGACATTTCTTTTTTCTGAACTATCGCAATAATCACTATCACTTGTAAATTCTATATCTTCCAAGATTGACTGATTTTTATTCAAAAGCCTTGATCTTCCATTATTATATGATACTTCAGTGACATCTAAAAAAACCATTTAATTAAAAATAATCAATGAGGCAGCAAGATCAGTATAAATTTTACCCATTTCATCAGCTTTTAGCCATATATCTTCCATTACTTCTCTCTGTTCATCATTGAGTTGTTCTTCTTCATATTCCTTTTCATCTAATTCTTGTAGACTTGTTGATGAAGGTACATCTAAACTTTTATTGTCAAGTGTTGTGTTATTAGACGATTCAGAATCTGAAAGTTTATGTGTTACAGGATGTCGTTTTCTACCAGCTTCAATATAAAGTTTTGGAATACCTGTATTGCTGTAACATTAAAAATCAAATTTAATCATTCTTTAATTTTTGGACAGTTAAAATTGACTTACTTCTTGTTACATAATATGTCACATTTACTAGGTAACGGTGCAGCTAATGTACGAGATGGATCTTCTGGATGGGTACCAATATCATTTCCTTGAAGCCATAACTCATACTTTTCAGGTTGTATACGTTTGACAAATGTATCCATACTGATCTTCACTGAATCCTGACGGCAATGACACTGTGAAGCTCTTTTCCCATACTCCACCCAACGTGGCGATGCAAAATTTGTTGATTCAGCCATATTAAAGCMATGGTTAAAACCAGCATGATAACCAAAGGGAAAAGTTATCATAAATTCACCTCGCTCTTGTGTTATCTGAAACAAATTATAATATTGGTCATAAAAAAAACATAAGTATTGTTAATCTAAATTTAAAATTAATAATTCTTTAGTATTTACTTTATTAAACGGTATGGAATATTGTTTTAACATATGAGGAGATATAACAGTCATTTTATGTCTAAGAAAAGCAGGGCAAGTTGAAGCATCTGTTGGAAAAAAGCCATTAGCTAATCTTTCTAGGCGTCGACCATGTTCTGGAGGTATGGCATACCTTAAGTAAAACAAAATATATACAATTTAAAAATATTGTATAATTACAAATTATTACAAATGTATTGTAATAAATTTTAAAAATAATCTTACCATGTCTTCGGATACCCTTCGTGTATATAGTTTATACTATATAAATCCATGTCTTCAGTATGCCATGCAAATGAGGATTTCCACATACCAAAATATAGATAAGCTGTATTTACACCTTCAATTCTAATACCATAATCTTCATTTACATAATCTAATATAGTGCCCAGTTTGTTAATATTCCAAACCTTAATTAAATAAAAAGAATTATTTACTTAATTTAAATATATATTTGAGATAAAATTAATGTATAAATGTAACACATACAGTAACATCTTTATCAGTAATAGATCCAGATACATCTGCACCATACATTGGGGATTTGTAAATTATATTTTTCCAATATTTTCTTTCTAGATCCCCATAATCAAAATGGTTAGGTGTTTTATACTCATCAGACTCTGCTATTGATTTGTAATCTCCTACTGTCATAGGTTTCTTTTGTATATTAAGTTGTTGATAAAGCCCTTGTTTGCCTTGAACAACCTAAATCAATAAAATAGTTATTAGACATAATTTATTAAAAGCTATAAGTACATTTTACTTGACATATTGGAGCTGGAATTTTCAAATTCATAATATCGTCTTCATAATAACTCTTTTTTCTTGGTATCCATTCAGGTGGTGGAATAACCTACACAATTAATATTACCATTGATTTAATAATATACAGATAGCCATCTTATTGTTAATATTGAAAGCTACTAATAGCTGTCAGCCACTAAATTTTCTGACTCGGTTTACATTGGGCCTTATGCTAAAACGGATACAGCAAACCTAGAGGCTGACACAATTAGAAGCTTCCAATATTAACAATTAGATGGATTATCTATATATTATAAACAAATTATATAACATATTTATATAAAAATTGGATTATAAAAATAAAATAAAAATTTGTTTAAAAAAACCCTAAATTTTTATTTTAACATACTTTTGCTACACCAGCCTTATGAGCGCCTTGTGACTCCATTAACTCAATATAGCTACTAAAATTTTGAAATTCTTTCCATGTGGGTCTGAATACCATAATTCTAGGTGTATTTTTATTAGAAGACATCTTATCTAAAATTACAAAAACATCATTATTAAAACCAATATTTTAGTACAAATAAATTTGAGTTTATCAACCATATTATAAAAAATACATTTTCACTCCAGAATGGCAAAAAATATATATTGTTGTTTTGGATATCTATAGATTGAGATATATTAACAAAAAATAATTTCAATACTAAAAATAAAGATAACAAACTTTAGAGTGGCAACTTTTTAAATCAATAGAAGATTGAAAAGATATAGTATATAATATTGTTTTAATCAGAGCCGATCTCAGATAACTATGAGCCCTCTGCAATAAAAGTTAATGCACCATCTAGTTCAGGTTAAGTATTTAAATTACAAACACTATTGTTGAAAAACTAATATCTGAACTCTGGAGGCGCCCATGATATAACGGGGCCCTGGGCAATCGCCCAGCTTGCCCATCCCTGGTAATGATAGCTTTAATGAATAATATATTTCATAGTTTATTAAATTTTGAATGGCAAACTTATTTAGAATAAGAATAAACTAATCCAAAATTGTATTTTTTTAAGCTATCCACTATACATTTTTAAAAAACTTACTATTTGAAAGAGTTATAGTATCAATGTAGAAATTAGTACGTTAAGTGTTGTTCCTTAACTTAAGCGTCGTACAGCATTTTTAATCAATTGTTTTTCAATCCGTCCGACGGTATCACCGACGGACTCATCGGTCAAACTCAATACTTGCTGGTGATATCGATCGTTTGGTAACTTGGTAGTAAACGAACGTATCAATCAACAATAGATGGCCATAATACTTCAGACTTGACACGATGGAAATTTTAGTGGATCTATCGAAGTTACAACAATAACTTTTAGCATCGGCAAACGGTAAACAGACTATAGTGACAATGACAACGGAGTCTTCGATGTTTGCATGATAAAGACCGTTGACCGTTGTAGTAATTACATGCTATGATTCCGAATTTAACACCGAACTTCCAAATTTCTAACAGATTACGACAAAACGATAACAGGACACATAATATGTATTAAGTGTTAATACTAGATAGATTAAAGTTTAATACTTAAACAGAATTATGCATCACAAATTCACTAACGAGCAACGTTAATATTGTAAGTTGTTGTCGCCGAACGCCATTACCAAAACACTGGAAATCTCGTAGACCACAGCCGACGTATTCGTGCCGGTGCGAAACGTTCGCTGTCCGGGTCTCCTCGAGGTAAGCCGCATGCGCTAGTGCAGTAAAGTTGTACAGGCCGTGTCAACCATAGAAAATAGATAAAGATGGTCTGTCCGGCCCACAGATTTATACAATAATTATTGTATGTATCTGTAGTCCGGCCTATAATGTTGTTAGTTGTTACTTGTTACGTTACGCACCGTCTCTTGATCAACCACGGTTCGCACAGGCGCGCTGCGGCAATGGCTTCAGTACGGCAATTCGCAAACGTCACGGACGGGAATCCAAGTCAGCCGTAAATAGCTGGCTACACTGTTTTACCTCGATCACGTAAAGTGTTAAGGACGGGACAACTGATATTGCAAGCTGTAGTAAGTTAATGCCCAAAAAATAAACAATGTTGTTGTTTTTTTTATTTGGTTAATATTTATTATTTTTTATCACAGTATTTACACAGATCAAGGGTCGTAGACCTAGTATGTAGTTTTAGATGTTTTAGTGTAACAAATTCTTAGATGAATCTTTTTATTGCTTTTTATCGTTGTTTTTACCAGATTTAAAAAAAAAAATATCCAAATCCGTACATAGTTTTATTTATTTTTATTATTTTTTCATGCATTTAGTTATTCCTTTAGTGCTGACATATCTACCTATCATTATTATAATCTGTTAAATACTATTATGTAATRGTTCAGTGCAATAACAAATTGATCTGGATACCAAAGTAAGAAAATTATGATCTTTACATTTTAGGTATAATGCTCAATTTGCTTTTTAAAACATTATAAATTAAGTTAAACATTTAATAGAAAACTCATCACTTATAAACTTTTTTTTCATATTAGTTCTAAGACTATTATAAATAATAATAAATAGTCAACATATTATATTTCATTACATTCACATTATAGTTATAGGTATATTCTAACCTTTGATATTTAAACATAAAACTAGATACCTAGGTAGTATTTAAATGTGATCAAAGGTTTATGTTAATTTTAATTTTAATTTCAAATTCATAATGACTTATAAATTAGTTTACTAATTCTCGACTAATAAATTTACCAGCATATTTATTATACCTATATTTTTTAAGAACAGGTAATGCTAAACAATTGTGTAAACACTAAATTGTTCATTTTAATATTGAATAGTTCAATTTATAAATACCTAACATTAATTTACGCCTAGTTGGTGACAGGAAATAGGTGCAGTTAGTATTGCTAAATTAGTTTTGTGTATTTATAATCTTTGTTACAACACTTTATAAATGTGATGTGATAAAATAAATTAACCCGAAATTAACATAAACTATAAAATATCAAATTCCCGTTTGAAATGTATTAAATGACCAAAAAATATCCAAACTAAATAATTTTTTTTTTTTTAATTTTATTTTAAAATTTGAAGATAACTTCAGTGTTAAAATTAAGGCAGATGAATGAATGATATTGTCAATTGATGACGCTGATATTAGTATGCTTACACGTCTTTACAGTATTATAGTAAATACATTTAATTACTTTCATAATTTAAACAAAAAACAGTTTTCATTTAAAATGATATTTAATTTGATGAATATAGTTACTCTTAAGCAGTGTGGTGAGTTTAGACAAATGTTATAGAGGTATTTGAAAATACTTATTCAACTCCTCAACTTTTCTAGTAGAAAAATGCTCTGATCATCAACTTTGATGGAGTTTTTTTGAAGAATATCAATGCAAATTACTCTTTTGAAGAAAATGCTCAAAAATGTAAGTAATACTAGGTTCATCATAAGTTTTAATTAAAAATATTTTAAGTTTAAATTTTGACAAATTAAATTATTATTATTAATTTGTAATAAAAAATGTATAAAATTTTCAATTTGTATAGCCAAAGTTTGAATATTTAATACAAAGTATTTCATTCGAGTAGTTCATACTTAAACTAAAAAAATTCTGAGCATTTTATAATTATGTAAATACTCTGTTTTTGAAAAAATAAATTCATTCTACCCATGGCTAAATATGTTATTATTATTATTATTACTAGTTATTAAAAGCAACRTTAATTTAGAATAAGTTATAAAATATCCTATGTTGACACACTGTTAAATTCAAAGTTAAAAATTAAACTGTCACCCATTTGGCATCTACAACTGTACAGCAAAACRATACCYACTGTCACGTCTTTTATTTATATGGGCTATAGTTGATCCAGTAAGACGTGAACAAATTTACACCTTGGCTTACTAGTTTACATTAATTGAAACGAAATGCAATATATTTTTTTTAAGTCATAGGTAATAATATGGCATTGGGGGGGCTTCAGTTTATTACCCACCCTTCCCTGCACATAGAACTTTTTTTAATTTTATTTATGTTTCATGATTAATATGTAAACCCATAATTGGTAAATACTTATCTCGGCATATAGCAGCAGTACAACACTGCATTTTCTGAGAACATTATATTTATTGATAACACAATAAAATCTGTTGTACTACTTGTATTCAATCTGAGGTATTTTAAAGATAAACAACCACATCATGGTTTTTAAATAATTTTTTTAACGTTAAAATGTTAAACTTGTTTGTATTGTAATATAAAGGTAATTAATATTAATTTGCTAACTTGGATAGCTWACTAAATTATTTGCAGAATTTTTTCTATTTATTTGAACTTATATTATAGTATATCTAAGTATATTGAAGTAATAAATATTGAGCGTGTATACAAAAATATCTAAATCAGAGCAGTGCCGTTTAAATTGGGAGGGATAAGTCCCTCATTACTTTTTTGATAACCATGAATTATATTTTTAATAATTAAATGATGTATGTTAAAAATAAATATTATCCCCTCTCCCATCATTTGACCACCACTGATTCAGGGGTGTTCTAATCGTTAAAAAAAAAATAGGTAGCCTACGATTTAGAAAGCAGCAGAAACATTGTAGTTGAAAGCCTCCGCTCTAAATTATACGAATTTATCTATAAACCATAAACGAAATACAATTTGTCATATTATCGAGAATGGGAGTTTACCAATTGCGCTTAAAATTACCTTTTTATGTACCAATTGCGCTCAAAATATTTTAGGGTCAATATACCAATTGTGCTCTAAAAATTTTACATTACCTAAGGAAAACTTATTAGTTAGTTACCAACCKATTTTTTGGGAGTAATAGTTTGGTAATCATAATGTTTGTGTTTTGCACGTCTTAGGAATAATAATAATTTTTTAAATATTAATTTGAGTATGGCATTATAATTTATAATAATATAATTTGGTTATTTTACAGAATAATATACTTGTTTGCAACGAGRAAAGGAGAATATAATCATAAGTATAACATGGCAATTACAATAAAATAATTAATTTGATCACTACGAGGAATAATAATAACATGCTGATTCAAAAAAATAAAATTAATATGTATACTAACCGCGATCATAAGTTTGATCGTCAATTAATCAAAAATAAATCATAATTATAAATACAATAAAAATATATATAAACACATAAATGATTCTTTGGAAGTATTAATAGGTACATAATAATATTATAATTCATATTTAAACATTTTTGCAATAATAATAACACACAATCTTAAAAAACTCTTTTCTGCTAATTTTGCCAGATTTGTATTTTTCAATATAAGAATTGATTGTTACTTTTTTTGTTAAATATGCTCTATTTGAAATATATCAAGTAAAATATAAAGAGCGCAATTGGTACACTGACCCTAAAATATATGCAGCGCAATTGGTATATTGATCCTAAAATACAAATTTTGTTTTAGGCGCAATTGGTCCATGTGCCCTCGAGAATAACTAATTTTCTACAAAAAATAATTTTACCATCTCAAAAACTACTCATAAATACTGTTATCCCACTGTTTTCCTACAATATCTTATTAGTAATTACCATAAATCCTTTAAGCTAAAATCTTTAAGTAATTACTCGTTATAACAGATAAGATACATTTCAAAAATAACAAATATTGTAGAAATTTCTAGGGTTTTAAACAATAAATTTGCAACCCTTATATGTTGTGGCAATACTTGTTTGACGCCTTACAACCCACACTTTAGTCTACTTTCACCACCTATGGACCTATGTTAACAATTAGGTAAAATTTTAATATACTTAAATCTTAGTTGCTTTAGCTTTATTTTTAACCAATTATATAAAATTGATTAAATCATATATACATTATCTTAACTTGATATAAATTCATTATTATTCACCAAGTATTTTACTTAAATATTCCAAAAAACTTTCATATTTATACAAATATAAACAATAATAATAAAAAATAGTTAATACCAATGAAATTTGTAGCTATTAGCTATAGTACCCACGAATTAAGTGGTTTTTAGGATAATAATATGATAATTTTACCATCTGTTATAACACATTTCATTTTGTTTGAATGTTTGAAATATGATATTTTAACCCATCAGGCTTATACTGTTTTGAAGTATGTATACCTATTATATAATTCATAATAATAATATGGTGTATAGTGTAACTTACAAGTTAATATTATTGTTGAATTATAAAATATATCTGGTTTTTAAATACTGTTAATTAGATACCTAAATTAAGAATTTTACATTAGATTATCAACACATAAGTATATTATGCATTGTTAGTTATATAACAAGCAATTAGTCACCGACACTAAATATATACTACCTATAAATATGCTTATATACTATTATTGTGCCTAAATAAAAAAAAGAACTAATTAAATCTTAATTACTTCTAATTACTTCTTAATGATGTCTGTCTCAATTTATATACATTGCATATTTTGTAATTTACCAAGTAAATACTGTAAGTACCTAACTTAGCTGTTACTTATATTTGATAGTAATCTTATTTTCACTATGTTAGAAGTAATGTAATAAGTTTTTGAGATTAAAAAAAAATCTATACARTTTTTTTGTTTATTTTTAAGATAATATGTAGAAACGTCTCTTCTATAGCTCWCCTCAACCATCAAAATTTCCTACTTAATAAGCAAAAAAATGTCGATAAAAAAATTTTGCATTTTTTCCTTCCTAGTTTCTTAGTACAATAATATATTCTATTAGGATATGGGCTGGATTAATTTCATACTGCCTCTAAATTGTGCGTACAGTGGCTATAGTAGCCGATATTATAACTAAAATTAAACTCACCATTATAATCATACCTATTTCAATTTTATTTGAAAAGTATTTACTTAGAGCGATTCCATTACTTATTCAAAAGTCATAACTTATGAGAGTTAAACTTAAACATAAAATTATATTTAAAACTACTTATACTTATAATAAATTATAAACATTTAACATAGTATATTGTGTAGACGTGTAGTCCAATATAAGAAATATTATTTAATTTTTGATAGCATGTCCTATTTGTTTATGAAAATTATTACATTTATTTTTTATTTTTATATTACACTAGTATTAAATACAATATAACTATTATTCAAGTACATTTTTTCAGAATTTGTGCTGTTGTTTTGTTAAATAAATTGTGATATTATATTTTGAAAATATTTAATTAATAGTTTGATTTGGAGTTGAAGATTAACATTTACACTTTACATAAGAATGTATGAGGTAAGTGGTATAAATATTTGCTAACTAATTTATTTTTATTAGTTTTATAAATTTAACTATCTTAATATTTTAGGTATAGGTAAAGACTCAAGTTAAACAATTTAATTTCAATTAATAAATTTTAAAACGGAAGTTATTGAATAATGTATATCAGTATTAAATTATAGTTGATTCTTATATTTCTATTTTTTTCTATTTTAGCTACATTTTGTTTTGATTATAATGCCGTTTTTAAATTTGTATTAATTATACATATATTAGGATATAGTTATATTGTTTCAAAATTTTCATCAAATTTATCTTTTTTAAAAGCAATTGAGTGCTCATTAAACTTTAAAAAAAAAAATTAATTCTCTATTGTAATAGATAGATGGTTCAAAAATTGTTTTAAATGTAAACAATTTAAAATCAGACATGGTTTTTTCATTCATATCCTGAAGTTTTGATTAAGTACTTGTTTTTACCCATATATCTAGGATTTAATAAATTATCTAATTGTTGAAATGTAATCATATTAAATATTTGTGAACTTCCGAAACAAATTTTGGTTTAATTTGTTGCTGTCTTCAAATATTACAAATTCTTATAATTGTTT